GACCTCGACCTCATCCTGTACGACAGGAAGCACGGTTTCATCAAACCCGACCCGGATGAGGTAGAGGAGCGGGCGGCCGAAACCAATGGGTGTTTTGCCTTTGCGCCCGGCCCTGGGGGGGAAGACGACCCGCTGCGAGGGGGGGCGCTGAACGGGTTTTTGTGGGGGGGCCCCTCGCCTTTGATGCAGAATACGTCGCTGCAAGTGCTCGAGATCATGGTGGACGAGTTCGCCAAGCGGGGCATCCTCGTGTTGCTGGACCTGCACTGCCTTTCCACCAAAGGCACCAACGCCTCGCCCGTTTTTTTTGACTCGAGCCACACCGTTGCCCAGGCGCTCCAGGGCTGGGGGAAGCTCGCGCGGAGTTTCGGCGCGAAAAAAAACGTGCTCGGGGGGGACGTTTTCAACGAGCCCTTGGCCCCAAGAGCTAAAGGTCAACATCCCCTCCGGCTATACGACAATGCGAACCTGGATTTGGTCCTCACGGGGTTGACCCGTTTCCTCCAGATCGAGACGGACTTCATGAACGGCCGAGCAATATTTTTTCCCTACTATTATTAATTGATGCTTTTTGCAGGGGGGAGCCCCCCCCCCCCCCCCCTTCCCCTGCGCTCATTCCCTGCCCTCTCCCACCACACACTCCGTCAGAGCCCCCTCCCCTCTTGCACAACAGGAATTTTGACAATTAACCGAGGAGGGATTTTGACTATTAACCAGCTGACACGTTTTTGTAGCGCGACTCGGAGTTGCTATGTCGGCCTCTCTCGCCTGGAAGAGCCCCCCTCCCCCCCCCCCCTCCCCCTTCCCTGTCCGGCCAACGCGGAGCACATACCCTCTTGCTACCCCTGCTGGTGAGGGAAAGGCACAACTCAGAACGATGGGCTTGCCCATGAGGGCGCCATGAAGCACATCAGCGCCGCAGCGGTTTTTCTTTTTTCATTTTCGAAAAAAAAAAGACTCGGCTCGTGAAGGGTCGGTGCGTGTCGTGACCCCCTGGAACACCCGTACCCCCGCACCATCTCCGTCGCTTGGTTCCATAACCTCTGCCACAACCGGGAGCGGCCAGGGCTCATAGACTCGGTCGAGAGACCCCAGATTGGCATCCATGCCTTTCTTTATGGACAGGGTGGCCCGCCACAAGGACCCCAGGAATTGCGACTCGCCGCTTTCCTCCCACTGTGATCCTGTGTGAGCTAACAACAAACCTAAAAGATATTGGAGAGATACATCAAGATACCGCAAAAAAACCGTCCATACTAGGAAAGGACTTTGCTCCAAGAGGTTCCAGGGAACGGGGATAATGAGAGCTTGATGAGTGACTGGCTAGAGACGACGACGACGATATCTACCCGGGTTTCATACAGTTCGATTCTGAAATGCGGACCGCGGACGTCACTGGCCGCCGCACCGCCGTCAAGCTGGCGGTGATCCTCATCTCGCTTCTGGGCGCGCCCACACGCAGCCAACCACACATGCCGCTCTCTGACCGCTCCTCGGATGGACTCTCCTCACAGGTACAGCAACCCTGGCACTCGTCCGCTCGCTCAGCACAGGCGCTGCCCGCGTGGCGTCGATCAACGCCGAGCGGGCAAAGAAGCGACATTGCTGGGCGTCGCCAGACACATCGGAGCTCTGCGCGTTCGGCAAGGACCTCATGCAGCTGGCCGGTGCGCCTCCTCGAGGTCGCACGAAGCCTGCAGCCGGCCATGCGATGCCGGCTGCGTTGGACCGAAAGAGCCGGCCTCACGCGCCTCAGCGAGCAGCTGCTCGAGCGGAGCCGGCCGCCTCGATTCGCACGCCGCCGGCGAGGAGGAGGGAGCAGCCAAAGAGCAAGAGGCCATCGACCGCGGCCCTGACGTGTCACCGGTGACGCTCGAGCGTGCCACCGAATGCTCAGGGTCCGAATTCTGTCCGGAGTTCTCGCCCGAGATCTCGTCGGTCGGCTCGGCCGGCTCGGGATCTCCGGCTGCCTTGTTCGCGCGTTTGCTGAGCCTTGGCCTCCTTTTTGGAGGCATCGCTCATGACGCGGGCGACGAGAGCAGCAGCGCGCGTGAAGTCCACCTTGAGCGCTCGGCCGCCACGTCGCCAACAGCGAGCGGCAGCGCCGCTGCGGACCCCACACGGATTTTCGCGCGCAGGCCCAGCGGCTTCTTGCGCGAGCGACGACTTCCTCTCGCGCGAACTCACCACAGTCAGCAAGAGTCGCCGTACACACCGGTGCGCGGGGAGTCGCCCAAAGTGGCTAGGGCACCCAAATGAGACGATCCGGGGCGTTCTGGATATCTCCGAGAGGGTGGGCACGCGTGTGTCGTGACGGACTGCTCTGGTTTGGAGGCTCCAGCGAGTATTTGTGGAGAGCGCATCGAGATTCAATCGAGATTGCGGAGCTACGTCGAGGTCAAAAGCCGGTGCCGGTGCCGGTGCCGGTACCTGTACCGGTCCCGGGACCGGTACCCCGGTCCCGGTCCCGGTCCCGGTACCACCGGTCCCGATGCCGGTGCCAGTACCGGTGCCGGTACACAGATCACTACAGTATCTGATACTCGTATATCAGGTAGAGTACGAGTACGAGTAGTTCTAGCTAGACCCTAAGTTACGCTGCGAGGCTTGTTGTTTAAAGTCACATGTGGAAGCACTCAAAGGCCACGGCTGGCTCGAAGACCACCGACGCAAGGCCGCCTGCAT